ACAGAATAGTATTATAATTTGTGTATGAAGTATTTACTCTTTAGATAAAAAAAAATTAGTTCTGAATCCAAATAATCCCATAAGAGAATAGATTTCACATGAAAGTATTACTTACTTTTGTAACACCTTTGATCATATTATTAATATGTGAACAGATAGTACGAACAACAGCATTTTCTTTATTTGTTCCAAACCATTTTTCGACAACAACTAAATTCTTTTTTGGCATTGAAATATCGACACGAGCATGACGAAAACTTCGTACAAGTTTGCCTCGTTTACCAGTTACTTGAACAACACGACTTTTAACACTGACTTTAACTAATCATAATAAAATAAAAATAAAAAATAAAACCAAAAAAAAAATGAATTAAACAATACCATCGTCAGGTATGGCAAGTTGTTCACGTGCTTTGATTGGTCGCATGGCGATGAACTATCTAAAAATATATATATATATGAAAACCTTAGTTTATCAAGTACTATAATATTGCAAATGAATATCGACATAGATTAATATAGCGATATTTTGGTAAACTATGGAATGATTTCATTTGTAAAAAACTCAAACCTTTTCTTCATATATTCCTTCATATAAATAATTATAATTAAAAATCAGAATAAATTTGTTTATTCTAATTTTTTAGATAAAATTTTACAAATAAAATCCAAAGTGCATTAGTGTGATAAATGAATTATCGATAGAGTTGTTACTTAGCAACGAACAAACTTAATGTCTATAAAGTTAAATTAAACACGTTTATTTGAATAGTTTCAACAATGACATCAACTTATCGTCCTAATGAATCGAAACGTGAAGAATTTCGTCGATATCTTGAAAAAGGTGGTGTCGTCGATTCAATTACAAGTATGTTAATAGATTTATTTCTCATTTATTTTTAACAATTCGGTTTTGTCTAGAAGCTTTAGTTGCACTTTATGAAGAAGCTGAAAAACCAAATAATGCCGCTGAATTTGTTCGTCGATATATGGGTGCAACTGGTCCTGATACTGCTGAAACGGAAACATTAAAAAATGAACTAATGACATTACGCGAAAAATCCGAGGAATTAACACGAGAAAATGAAACATTGAAAGAGAAATTACAAAAATATGAGAGCGCATAATAAAGAGATCTCTAGATGGAAAAAAAAAGATATTTTCATGTATTTGATTAATTCTTTTTTTTTTCTTAACTATTTTTTAGATAATGGTTAATAATGAGTCAGAATTTCGTGTAAAGGTAG